TCTTGTACAAACCTAAGTGAGACAGGCACTGTTAGTTTAAAATTATAGAAACTTTCCAAAATACTGCTATGAAAATCCCAATATCACATTGTGACTGTTTGCATTGATCTTAGGTAGACAGTTTAGGAAACTTCATGCTCAGGAGTTTGATTATAATTAAATATAATTTTAGTCTAATGGGTCCAAGACTAGCATTTGAAAATTAAGCAAGGGCAATTATGACTACCTGAAAGCAGGGCTAAAGTGAACTGGCAAATTAGGCTAAGGGATAGGTCCATAGAGATGCAATTGCAGACATTTAAGGAAATATTTCATAACATGAAAAATAGAAACATTCCATCAAGAAAGAAAAATTCCAAGAGGACCCACCAAAGATGGTTTAAATAAAAATGTTAAAGTGAATATCATATTTAAAGAAAAAGCATATAATTACACAATGATGAGACAAGTTATAAGATTGGACGACATATTTTTAAAAAGGCAAAGGATGACTAAAAAATTAATGAGAAGGAAAAAAATTACAGTATGATGGAATGCTCACAAGAAATATAAAAACAGATAGCAAAAGTTGAGATAGATATTTAAAAAGAGGTAACAATGTGAGCATTGGTCCTTTAGAATGTGAATAAGGGAAATTAATAATAGAAAATAAAGCAATGGCAGTTGGTTGCACAGGCATTGGTCTTTACTATAGAGTATACAATTAACATTTTAGAAAAAGGAGAAAAAGGTAGGGAAAGAGAAAATCCAGTAACCAGGGAAGTGGCATTGTACAAATTGTTGTAGCTGTGAGCTGATGAGTACCTTGTTCCTAATAAACTTTGTCCTAGAGTATTAAAGGAGAGGTAACTTGATGCATTGTTTTCAATTTTCCAAAACTCCCTAGATTCTAGGAAGATTCTGTTAGATTGGAAATAGTGGAAGTAACTGCTTCATTAAAAAAAAAAATGCGGAAGAAACAATAAATAGGGAAATACTGGCCAGTTAGTTTAACATTTGAAACAGGGAAGATATTAGAAATAATTTAAGAAAACACTATTTTCCAGATCCATTCATTTTCAAAGATGTCATACTGGACTCAAGACATTAACTCTGTTTCCCTGTCCACATATGCTGCGAGACTTACTTAGTTTCTCCAAAACTTTCTGTTTTTATTTCAGATTTCCAACATCCACAACGGCATGCCACCAGTGCTGGGTCTCAATTTTTTTAATATTTATGTAACTGATTAGGATGAAGGCATAATTGTTAAATTTGCTGATGACAGAAAGACAGGTAGGAAAAAAAAAAGTTGTGAAGAGGATATAAGGCGACTACAAAGGAATATAGAGAGTTTAAGAAAATGGGTAGGGATCTAGAAAGTGGACCAGAATGTGAAAAAAAAGTGAGATTGTCCATTTAGGCAGGAAGAATGAAAAAACATTCTATCTAAAAGGTGAAAGATTGCAGAGCTCCTTAATGCAAAGGGATCTGAGTGTCCTCATGCAAGGATTGCAATAAGTTAATAAGAAAGTACAGCAAGTAACTCAGAAAGCCAACAGAATTTTATTGTTTATTGCAAATGGAATTGAATACAGGAGTAAGCAGGTTATGCTTTAGCTACGTAGGGCATTGGTAAGACTGCTTTTGGAGTACTATATATGGTGCTGGTTGCTTTATTTAAGGAAGAATGTAAATGCATTGGAAGCAGTTCAGAGAATGTCTACTAGACTAATACCCGCAAAGGGTGGGTTTTCTTCTTCCAAAGTGCACCACCTTGGTTCCATGTGCTTTAACCTTCTCAATCAGTCTCCCATGTGGGACCTTGTCAAAAACTTTGCTAAAATCCATATAAACTACATCAACTGAACTTCCCTTATCCACGCACTTGATCACATTTTCAAAAAATTTTAACAGATTTGTTAGGCATGACCTCCCTCTGACAAAGCTATGCTGACTCTCCCTAATTAAGCCATGCTTTCCAAGTAGGTATTAATTTACTCCTTCAGAATTTTCTTCAATAGTTTCCCTATCACTGACTTGAGGCTTACCAGTCTATAATTTCCTGGTTCATCTCTACCACCCTTCTTAAAACATGGAACTACATTTGCCATCCTCCAGTCTTCTGGCATTTCCCCTATGGCCAGAGAGAAATTAAAAATTTGTGACAAGCAATGGGGTGAAAGGTTATCAGGGAATACAGCGCAACCAGATCAGCCGTGACCTAACTGAATGGCAGAGCAGCCTTGAGGGGCCAAGTGGCCTACTCACGTTTCTAATTCATCTGCTCATCTTCAGTTTGTTTTTACATCATTTCATTTTCAGTAACAGTGGGGGAGGGGGAGGGAGTACCTGGATCAGAATCAAGAAGTCTGTAGCTCTAATATATTTTGGGAATGCCTTGAGGTTATGAGATGAATTATATGATTACACCATCATTGTTCCAGGAGACTGAAGTACACTAACAAAAAATACCCAAGCATAATGTATCACACTTGGCTCTCTAAAATGATTCCCAAACTAAAAAAATCCTTGAATTAAAAATTTAAATACTTCTGTCCAAATACTTCAGGGTCTTAATCACTTACAGCCTACCCTATAATCTTCTTTATTCTACTAAATTTTATCTCTCATGTATCCTTGACTTTTATGGCACTACCATTGATGAATTTGCCTTCTGCCATCTCGATCCAAAGCTCTAAAATTACTTCTCAAAACATCTTCACCTCCTTCTATCTTTCAGATGCCTCTTAAAATTTACATTTTTGACCAAATTTCTAAATGGGTTCTAATAGCTCATCCTTTGTCTCAGATAAATCTTTTTGTCTGATTATCTCCTGCAAATATGTTAAAGGTGATACATAAATTAAATTGTCATTGTCACCATATTTGGTATTTCAGGTTCATTTAGAGATGTTATGCCAATTTACAAAATTTTGGATTCGTCATACTTTGAGAATAAAACTTTGTTTGACAGCTCTTATGACTGTGCAGAATTAGTTCATCTTTATTAAAATTAATAACTATTTTAACTTTTCAAGAAACTTTAAAATGATACTGAATTTTGTATGTGAGCAGCTTATTCAGCGTGTTGATATTTGAGAATGAGTCTGATGCCTGTCCTTTGTGCGCCAGGATTAAGAATAAAATCTGTTCCTTTCCTGGTTTCAGAACACCTCCACAAAACAATAACAGAAGTTTTATCAGTCTGTATATACATATATAAACACACTTGAGGGGCTGTAATAGTACTAATGACATAATGCATTGGGACCTTGGGAGAGGGTCTTTGATGTGAAAGTTATAGCCCTTGGACATCATCTTCCTTCATCCAGGTGTCAGTAGTGATTGTTTCACAATGACTGGGTAACTTGGTACATTTATTTTAATAAAAATACATTTCCACAGGAATTACAGAGAATAATTTCTATCAACCTATTACATGGATTATAATTTGGATTCATTTCTTTTCGTAGCTTCGTTGAAAAGTGCAAAACTTAAGTATACCGTATTGAGCTTTAATAAATCGCTACAATATGCATTTTACAGATTTTGTCATATTGAATGCACATTTGTGGATGTGTTCTATCAATTTTATTGTTTAGTACATTTGGAGATGTCTTTCCCTTCCAGTATTTCAGCTTCTTTGAGGTTTTTCATTTCATTATGGTAGGGCAAAATGGTTCATACATTTTCCTAATATTTTCTTCAAATCTAGTCCCATTGCTTATCAATATGCTATTAATTAATTCATTCACATGCTATGCTGAGTTGCTTTCTAGCCTTATTTGAAAAAATAACGTGCATAGTAAAGCTTTGAAACGCATGCATAAACTGAGAATTATGTAATATCTTTCCATAACTTTCATTGTGCAATTCTGAGTTTTAAGGATAAGGATATTACATGTGCAAATATCTCTATGAAAGTTACTTCCACCTAAAAAAAACAGGTCTGAACCAGCTTACAAAAATGTAAGTTCTTTAAGTTCTACAATGCTTCTACAGTAAGTGGGTCAGAATTACATACTGTATTACTTTTCCAACCATGACATAGTCTGGTCCACCAATATCTGATACACCACGTATTTGTTAGCACATATTCACGAATGGACAAACCATATAAATGACCTGATTTACATCTCAACCCTTGCAAGGTTAAGGGTTTCACTATGGAACCCAACATTAATATCAAACTATGTATAAATATCTGTATTTCTATTACTGGTGCATTACACTTCAAACTACGAATTTTTAAAAACAATCACAAAATGTACACATTTGTAATGTGATATTTGAAATATAAGCTCAGCTTCTTGTCCTTGTCAACTAATTGACTTCTGTACAATACGTATACGACAAAGACAAAGCATCAGTTGAACAGCAGATAGACAACAAAAAATGGTTTTGTTGTCCTTTTATTATTTGATTTTTCTACCCATTCTGCTAAATATACTATGTAAACAGAGGATGCTTTGTTTGCTTGTAGCAACTCATCAAAAAATTCTTCCAGACATTTCTAGACACATTGATTTTGAAAAGCGGCTGCTTTATGAACCTAAAGCAGCCTTCATAAAACAAGTCTGTCAGTTGCAATTAACCTACGCTTCGGAACTCTACCCTGCTGAAACAGTTGCAAAAAAGATAAGACAATTAAAAAAAAATGCTTTACCATCTTAGTTTAACAGCTTGTTGGCTGTGCTTGACAATACTACAACACAAACGAGGCAGTCAAAATGAGTTGTTAGGCTGAGGTTATGCCCTTCCTGTTGTGTTATCTGCCAGCAGATCAAACTGCTGACTTGGGCTCTTTCTGCCAACAATGCTGATGCTGCCTGTATGAAGATGCTGTCACCTAGTAGTCATGGTACTTGCACTCCACAATAGAAAAACACTAAATTGAACTAGAAGTATTGTCTTTGTGATATCATTTCAGCAAGTCATGTCCCATTCAGCCTGATAGTTTATCTCTGTCAGGCAGGGACCCAGGCGACTATACAAGCTGTCAGGACAGGTACACAGACCTGCTCAGTGCTGAGGAGGTAATGCATCTTTCGGGCTTGGTAATGCTTTCTTCTCTCTTCCTCTTCTATCGCTTTCTTTTCCCGTTCCTTCTTCTTTGTCTCTTTGTACTCCTCCAATTCTTTCCTACAGTTAAGCAGAGATTTACGATGCAGATGTACTGAATAAAGCACAATTTATAAGCAACTCTTTCAGTTTCAATAGTTCTCAATTACTCTAAAGCATATTATATTATTCAAGGTTACAACAGTGAATATATTGACATTTTTAAAAAATCACATTGCTTAGTTTTTGCTGGGTGAATTTTTAATTAACATTAGGTTAAACTGCAAAATAGATGAATTACCTGCAGCCACATGACCCCATTTTAAAATCCTACTTCTGAAATTGTTTATGATGATATAAATTAGAGAAAAACCTGTTATGTTTGTGGATAGTTTTTCAGCACTGAGAGATCAAAAAGTTGTACTCACCTTTTCCACTGTACTAACATTTAGAAAAATGACCTTTCCTGACCTACATCTCAAACCTATTGTGAACTGCTAAGTGGATTTTTAAAGCTAAACAAAATTATTTTCAAAGAATGAATCTTTGTGCTATTTGCATTATGTGGTGCCCAACAAACCTTATTGGATCTGTCCAAAGCTAGATTTAAGGTGTTTGTAACATCAATGACCTCTGTGTCCTTAAAAAAGAATCTTAATAGATAGTCTATTGCAGAAGATGTACTAAATTATACTAAATGATTATTTACCCAAGAGGAAATACAATAACAATTTAATTATGTTTTAGCAAAAATCAGTTTTCAAAATCAAGAGGGACAGAGTAAATAAAAAATCCTTCTCGTGACAGAACGTAAAAATTAAACAAAAGAACAGCAGACTGATCAGAGGATATCTGACAAAATCCTTTCACAAATAAACATATCACATAATAGCTATTAAGATTTTATCAAATTTTAGTAATTAACTATTTTATCCCTGTGTACTAAAGACAATTTTAACCAGATTTACAATTTTAATTACACATGTTCTGCATGCCCTTCAGTGCTGCTGTGGAAATCATATTCGACATTATATAAATCTACCCCACAAAAAGCATACTCATATAAATATTGAGTTTAAAACAAAATTATTCTAAATTGCCACTTAAATATACATACTGGATAAAATACTAAAAGATGTTTGTTCAAAAGGACTAAAAAGAATTTTAAATGCAGAAAATTCCAATTCTGATTATCAGAAATTAGATCAAATATACATGTAAAAAGGTATAGACAATATATAAAGTACAACTTTCTCTTAATACATAGAAAATACAATGTCATTGTAATGTTTAATATTTAGATTCAAATATTCTGGGCAGTTTCCTTCAATATATTTGAATGTCAATCTGCATTGCTTAAAAAGTGTTAGATTTATTCTAATATATTTCCATCTAATTAAAATATTACAAAAATATCCAGATTAAATTTAATTAAGTTGGAACTTTATAAACAATTCATTATTTATAAAATATTAAATATTCTTAAGTATATACTAAATTTTAAAACTAAAGAACACAGCAGTAAATATCAGATTTTCCAAAATCCAATTTTGCTTGAATATATATGCATACTGGTCTCACATACTATCTCACATTTACATTTGTTTGAGATTTTTTCATCCCAAATCACTCACAAATATGTGTTTATGTAAAGATTCTGTTTAGCTTTAGAGGGTTAAATTAATTGTCTCACAAGAGAAAACTTACATTGGGGAAATTATCTGATTATGGCAGTAATAATTGCACAGCTGTTTAACACAGATAGAGAAATAATTCATGTAGGCAATAGGCCGTGGTGGCAATGACATTCTGCATTTAGTAAATATGCAAACTGTTCAGTCCTAATTACCCATACTAAAGGATGCCCTTATTAAATGTATAAACTAAAACTGTCTGCTTGACAAGTGATAAATTGTTATATTGTGCAAAACTGCATTACAAAATTATGATAGTGAACTTGGGTCTCCTAACTTCATTAAGTGATTTTCCAGGAAAGTTGAAGAAGATGGACACTGCAATATATCCATCTATGGAAATGACTAAGAGCAACAGTCTTGTATGATGCAATTACTATGTTACTTTTAGTATTCCCAAGTCAGGTCCCTTCCAGAATAAATCAGGAGCAATTTAAAAGAAAGTATTTCAAGATTGTGCACATGAATAAAATGTTTGCTTTGACTTTTGCAATAAATAACAGTAGCTTTCTGAGCTTCAAGCTAATAATGTTTTATTAATGTCATGACTCAGCAACAGGGCAGCTAATTTTTAATTTCATGATATCATTTGTTTGATGCAAACAGGAGTCTATTTTTGCATATCTAGCTAGAGGTTAGAAGTGTACAAGCTTACCAATTGCATACTCAGCCTTTAAATTAATCAGATCAATTTATCACTGCAGCGACACACGTCTTAATTTGAAGACATATTAAATATTGTACATGGAGAATAATACAATGTTCAGGTAAGAGTGGTTGATATAAACAGCTCACGTTGAAAATTAGTAGTTTCCTTCTCCCAATAGAATATTATTGAAAATTGTACTATATTGTCTGTTAAATTTCACGGTTTATCGCTAATGTGATGTTCTTCTAAACAGCACTAGGTGCAGTCATGCACCAAGGTAACTTGTACTGCATCCATTATACAGCCCATTTCATCTTATATTGTATGATGCCATAAATGTTGCATATTTTAACAGTACTACAAAGGATATCAAATTTAGAAAAATTGTACTCTCTTTAATTATACTTATGACACATAATCAAAATGCTTTTCTTGTAAGCTTTGTACATACCATCAAAATATTTTACCAAGATTTTTGGTCATCTGCTTGTTACAGATGGAATGGATAATAGGATGATTCCCTTTGCTCTCACCTCCCAAATCGATCGAAGAGAGATGTTTTTAAACAAAAAAAAATGTTTTAACAACACCCTCACCTCGAGTGATGTAACTCTCAAGGACAGACAAACGGCAAGTTTTCTTGCAAGTTTTTATAAAGGTTAAAGGTTTATTAGTCAATACCTGAAATGCATTTAACAGCACCCATAGAGTACAAAATAGTTAGCATGCACTTATGAGTTCATCATCAAATTTGTTTGTCTTGAGGTGAAACTTTGGAACGTTGCAGACCCATGATTCCTTTTTGGCCCATAATGAAATTGAGGAGTAAGGAAGGTTCATGAAGACATTGCATTGATTTACTGCTTGCAATAGCATGTTTCTCTGCTTTCAGTCCACTTGAAGTACATCAGAAATCCTTCTTCAAAAAACAGGTTTGGCTCTTTAAATAGCAAGGTAAAAGCAAACCAAATTTCCTGCCTGCTTATAGATGGATCCTAGGTAGGGTCCTGTTCCTTTGCAGCTCTTGATCTCGTTTTTTCTTTTTCTGCTCAAAAATGTGCCTTATTAAATGTCTTGGCTTGTCAGTTTTATCCATTGTATCTATTTCAATTTTTCCTAACAAATTTTCCTGACACACAATGCTACTTGAGTTTAACCGACAAACATACTAACGTGATCTCCTAACCCATTCTCCAGAATTCCACTCCAACTCTAAAAGGCCAGCCAGTCATGAATAGCCCTTCATAATTCATGTAATAGGAAGTAAACAAAGAAAAATCTTCTCTTTTGAGGGCAGTAAAATGACAAGACTGACTCTTACATGTAAATAGAAGGCCACATTCTAAATGTTTTGTCACCTTACATTGTTATCTGTCTGATCAGCTACAAGAGTCAATCTACAAAGGCTACCCATCCTTAGTACTATACCACATGTGAACCCCATACAAGGGAGTAAGTTTTCCCAATTGACTTGCATTGCTAGCATTGTTCAGTTCCTGGAAAAAAATACACCTCTTGTATTTTTGGCAAAATCAAGCTATGACCTAAAATGTTTCAGTAGGTCAGCGTGCCTTGGCAAATTCAATTTTGGCTAAATACCTTATGAGGTTAGCATTTTCCAAGCTTTTTAATAATGCCCTTAAATGGTTGATGTGGTCTTCCAAAATGTCTCTATAAACTAACAAATCATCAACGTACACACTACAGCTACATAAACCAGCCTGCAGTGATTGGAATGATGTCAGCCAGGTGGATCTTATTGAATTTGAGTTCCCTGACTTGGGTTGTTAACCTGGTCTAATCAAGGAGCCCTGGGTGACAAACATTAACAGGAGTGCCCGAGGTCTGTTCAGTCTAGGAGCTGGTCCTACTATGCACATGTAAATAAAGTATGACTTGGTGACGGTATACTGGTCTTTGTGGAGTTATTTCACAGCCACTAGTTGATTCATTAACATTTAAAAGGTGACAGAGCATTCTTGAAACCAAATGGTATTACTTCATATTAAAATAAGCCATCTAATGATACAAAAACTGAGATTTCCTTTCTTCAGTAATTTTGTGAACACTTCAGTACTCTTTTGATAAGTAACTTTTGCTGATGATAGTGGTGTAGCCAACTTGCTCAATACAATCTTCAATATGAAAAATTGAATACGCATGGTTTCAGATCAAGCATTAACTTTTTGATTGTCAGCTGAGAGTCTCTTGGAACTGTTCACCTTAGGGACTAACATGATAGGACAACTCCAGTTGTTTTGATTTGGTCATTGTCTAAGGTACATCAAACGTGCTCTTCAACAAGTTAATTTATCAGACCTTAGTTATTATTGGTTCTGTTTTAATAGGTGAGGTCTTCACTGTCCGCATCTTGAAGGGCCAAAGAAGTACAACCTTGTTTTGTCTCCACATGCATCCAATTTACCTAATAGTTCTGTTATGTCTTTCCCCTGCACATATTTGTCTTAGTTTCACAGTAAGGAGTTCAATCTGGCAATTTTCCACACCTCCTTCTTCCCCTAGCCCTTCCTCACCATCCTTCATGTCATCATCTACTCTCATGTCTTGGCATGCAGGCACTGTTTTTTTTCTGTTTCTGATTACAATATCCCTTTTAACATGTTTGTGTGACACAGTTGTTGTTTCTTTTTCCAGGCAGGGGTGGTGGTAAATGACCTTGCTAATTATCTTCCCTCTACAGGATGCAAGACCAAACTTAGTGCTCAGAGTTTTGCACT